AGTGAACATTTCACCCCCTCATTTGAGGCGCGCGACCATTAGGTCGCAAGTTGTTGGAGTTCACGGCGGTGGCAGAACTCAAAGCCCTGACCTCCGCCTCACCCAAACCCTAAAGCTTGGGACCAACCAATTGAACCACATGCACGGTTGACGCCTCCGTACTCTATTTTGTTCAATATTATTGTTGGATTTTTAGGTTATTAAAAAGTTTTTATAAAAAATTGAAGAGAAGTCTCCTAAGTCAATCTGCAGATCTGCTCCTGTCATCTCCTTCAGTACTTCTGTTTCTTCAACTTCTTTTTCTCAAATCCAAGAATCCTAGCACTGCTCTCCTTGAAAAAGCGTAAATACTTGACACGTGACGCCGATCCCCCTAAAACCAGACCTCGATCAGGAGATCTCAAGACTCCATGGTCCGCATACCACTTTTTCCACCGTCTGATAACTCAGAGTGGGCTCCACTTTTCAATTTTTAAAAAAATTTTTTTTTCCATTTTTAGAGAACTGTATTGTGCGTTGTAGTTACCTGCTGGACTGAAGCTGCCGCTTTTGGCGTTCCTCGTCGGAGAGTGTGGTGAAGGGACCCTGAGCGCCGTTAATGGGAGTAGTAGGTGAGAATTTCTTCTTCTGCAGAGAGTGGAGCTCATCAATGGTCTGCACCTTAACCGGTGGTGCGCTGTCGTCGTGACAGATCCCATTATGCTTCTTCTGCGTCTGTATCTTCAGCCCGCTGTTCCTCGACACCGCACCACTCATCGCTCCGTTGCCGTTTGCCGCCATATCTCTCTACCCTGCAGACAATACCACACTACTCATCAAAATACTAAAAACCGCGATAATTATTCAGGAATTCAATAAATTAGCAATTTCTGATCCAAAAATACTTATTACAGTTTTTATCGTGATCAAAGAGAGATTAAAATAGCCATTATTTTGAAGTTGAATTAAGGAAAATGGAAGCAGTACCAGAAACAGGTAAGTCGAGCTGGAATCGATCAAGAAACAAATGAGTAATCGAAGGCTGGGCAGAATCGTGGTATGAGAGGAATAAAATGAGAAGGCGGGGGAGTGTCCCCTTTTATAAGGCGGGGTTGGTCCATGGTTAATAAATTAATCATGGTTACTCGCGGGGAGGGTACATCCAGCAATTCGCATGTCAGAATCAACACCCCCAAGTGTCGCATGTCAGAACCAACAACCCCAAGTCCAACAAAGGCCCGCACCCCTCAAATAATGAAGTCACAACCCTCTCCGCCAGTGCGTGAAGAACACGGATTTTTTTTAGCGTGTTGATTGATAATAAGCAAATGACGAATAATGCTAAAAAAAATCCGTGTTTTCACGCACTGGTTGAGAGAGTTGTGACTTCATTTTTTGAGGGGTGCCGTCCTTTGTCGGACTTGGGGGGTGTTTTTTTTTTTTTTTTACTTTTAATCGTTGGGGGCCGGGGGGAGGGTTTCGTATATGCGAGGGAAGGGATATGCACTTTCTCAATAACAATTACTACGGGTATCGAGTCCAAGGTGAGAGGTGTTGATTCTGACATGCGTTGATATTTTTCATGATTCATCACAGCAGTTGGCGGTGTTGATTGATAATAAGCAAATGAAGAATAATGCTAAAAAGAAAAAAATATTATAAAACAAAAATGAGTGCAAAGTCAAACGAACTGGCCACTCGTCCAAGATTTCAGGGCTCTTGGTCTTAATTTTTATTTTTCAAAAATTGTATTAATTTAAAAAAATAATTGATTGAAAAATACAGTTTCAAGGCCACAAATGTGGCAAGTTAAAAACAATAACAGCATGTTTGGTGCGCCGGACATGATTGTATTGAATAAAATCAATAGGATAAGATTGAATTGGATTAGTTTTGACAAGACAATAAGAGTTCAATCTTATGTTTGGTATTTTATTGGATTGGATATAAAATTTATCTTATATTTAGTTTAGTAAGGGGTAAGATTATATCAGATAATTTTCATAATTTATATGTATGGATAAAAATGCCTATAATTCCAAATATTTAAAAATTTTCAAAATCATTAGAATTTATCAACATGAAAAATATTTAAAAAATTTTAATTATCACTTAAATTTATTCACATGAGACAAAAAGTTTATAAACTTATGAAATATATTAATTTATTAAAATAATTTATTAAAATATCTAAAAAAACTTTATTATATAATAAAAAAGAACAATCTAAAGTTAAATTTATCAAAATAATTTAACTTTGAGTGATATTTGGGTAGAAATTCATAACTTAACAAAATCCACAAAACTGAGGTAAAAAGTATGTTGGGAATTGTGGTTTGGAGTTTTTTTATGTAGTCGTATGATGTTTTTAAATATATGTGTATTCAGTAATTTTTTAATTATTTTTTTTAAAAAGCTACAGAAGTCACAGTAAATTTACAATAATTTTATATATATAATCAAAAATCTCATTTTGGAGCTTTTTAACTGTTGTTTTTAGGAAGAATACCTAATGTTTAATATAATTACAAAATTACCTATTAAAATCTAATTTCATATAATTTAATTACATCATAGTTTATAATATTTTAATAACTATAATAAATCTAAAGAA